AGCAAATGAGTTAGTGCTTATATATCTCGGTGATTCCCCACTTTTCAAAATTTTTTCCTATAAAAAAAATATATAAAAAGATAACGAAATTATTTAGCTGCTCAAACCAACTACAAGCTCTTGTAACTACATATTTAGTGAGGGTAGTGTATAACTTACTCACTCTAGCTTACAGCAAAAGCTAATGCAACTAATCATATATGCAGTTGTAAGCCTGTATGCATTTTGTAAGATCTACCGGCTAATAAAAGCGGGAAGTGCTTAGAAAATGTTAGTATAAAGTCGACAGCCGGTGAGAAAAGTGCAACTTTTGATTTCATCGTTAACAAGTTTTCTTACATACAAAAAACCAAAATGGATAAGCGTGGCGTTGATAACCGTTCAAACCAGCAGAACCCCAACCATCAACCAACTGGACCTGGTCGTTCCGCAGGATATCAAGGCGCAGGAACCAGATCTGATTTGAATAACCATGCAAATCAATCGAATCCTAACAGTTCCGCTTATCAGTCATCCAGAAAATAAAATGTATAGTATTCAGTTGTATAATGTGTTAGTGCATTCGATACATCTTTACATACATAAATAAAGAATGAATAAATAAATGAATTGTTTTACTAGTTAGTCATCAGCAGAGCTGAGCACGTAATGTAAGTACAGCGTTTTAGTGCTCCTTTTAAAAGTGGTGAGTTAACCAAAACTATTTGCTTCAACTTCAATATGAAGTTCCGTCGTTATTGCACAATTTTAATAAATATGTATTTCGCAATATACATATGTACATTAGGGCGCGTCAATTTGTATGGGAGAATTTTTCGACAATGCGCGTATAGCACAGAAGGATGCTACGTGTAATTTTGAGCAAACTTGTCGAAGAAACCATGGGTCTGAAATCCATTTTATGTTGATCAAATTGCAAACTGCAAATTTTGTGCTTTCCATCAAACTACTCAAAAATGTTGCTTATCCTGCCGATTCACTACGAAAAAGGCACAGCAAAGGCCGGTTCACACGACTTGTAAATTTTCACAAATTGTAAAATTTTTTATTTAAAGCTATAAAAATTCGATTGACAATTTATTTATCAGTCAACCGGTCGCTACAAGACCAACAACAATTTTTTCGATCACACCAGCAGAATAACAATTTACTCACACCCAGCTTTGAGCAAATATCCACGGTTTTTGGGTTAGTGGTCGGGCAAGGAGAGGACGTGGCTCTTCATTTTCCACCTACTAGAACACACAAACTGCCCCTCGAATCCTTCCATAGACCCCTGCGGAACCATTTGAAAATGGTGTAAAATTTGCAATTCGACCGAGAAAATGTAAACTCGAAAAGTTTTGATCAATTTTAGCTATTTCGCTTTTGTTTATTTAATGTTTATTATTTTTTCATAAAGAGAATGTGGTAAACAGGTTGTTTTTTATAATATATTTTCTATTCTATTTTGTTGTATTCTTTCTTAGTTATTGTTTTTCAATTGTTCTTTGTCAAATTGAGTTTGAAGGCAAGTAGGTTTAAGCGCTATGCAAACTTTGGTGCATTTTTTCGTTGCCACCAGAATTTCTTTTTTTTTCTATATTTTAATGGTAAGAACAAATAGTGGCAGAGCATATATAGCACAAAAAATTTAAAACTATCTGAAGGGAAAAATTACTGCAAATTTAGCATATCGATGGCTGAGTGGAAGATCGACCTATCTCGGAAGCCAATTCGAAAGTGCCTTATCTCAGAATAATTTTCAAGAACGCCCTATATCTGAAGCTAGTTCTAAAATATCCTATCCCAAACGAAAATGCATTGAAAATATGCTGAGATAGGGCGTTGTTGAAAAATTTTCTGAGATAGGGCGTTTTCGGACTGGCTTCCGCGATAGGTCGATCTTCCACTCAGCCATCGATCTATTCTATACTGTTACAAAAAGTGTATATTGGGGATATTATTATTTCAAGAAAGTATTTGTTTCGATCTCCGTTTACTGATTTTAACTGCACCATCTGAATGTTCAGCCATCGATGTAGAGGTCATTGCGTTACACACTATAAGGAAATTTCTGCTGAACATCAACACCACTTGGCAGGTAACTCGGTGGCTCGGCTTGAGTTTTAATATCATTCATTCTCGGGAAGCTCTGTGTAGAGTAGCCGGTTACTATCCTATATCTTCTCTACTTTTATAGGTTTCACCGGCAGCTGAACTCTTGGCCATTTGGGTCGTTGGAATGTCCTTAGAGTCGATTATTTTCTCCTTCGAACCCATCATTCTTAATATCGTCCCGGACGCCGAATAAGGTGCGGTCGCTGGCAACCTCCACATAGCAGTTTTCAACAATTTGGATCCAATATTCCCTGAAATATCGCAGTTTTTGCATTTCCGATTTCGCCCACTCTCAATCCCAGCCTATCCTGGATAAAGTTCAATCTACCTGTCAAATTTCGATATCTAAATTTTTGCTCGAGTTATCGTGTACACCGGCGAATGGACGGACAGACAGAGAGACAAACAAACATCGACTTAATCGGCTCTTTGTCCATTCTGCGCATTTATGTTAACATTTTGTTAAAAATTTTGTATATATTGTCAAAAATTCCCTATGCCAATAATTTTGTGCGTCACTATACTTCTTCGTAGCCCAGTCTTGCCTACTATACATATTTATCAGAATGAAAGTTATTGTACATAAGGCAGCACTTAAATTTAGTTTTTATGGCCGAAAAGGATCACTTAACTGCCTAATGCAGTCTCTCTCGCCTGTTCCTAATGTTATTCGCTACTTTGTTAAACATCACTCATACGCAGTGGTGGCTCCGAAAGCTGTTATCACACGTGCAACTCAACTAAACTCCTGCTAAATGTGTTAAGATAGAGCCGTAAAATATCGGTTTCACAGTGTAAACTACAAATAATTTTCAACCTCCTGCTTCGATAAGGCTCAGTGCACCAGTGCGTATGCGCAACGCTTTAAGGGCGGTAACAATATAAGTAAGAGACATTAGCTGTTACCTTGCGATTATTTTTTGGTCGACTTCGGTCGGTAAAAAATTTGGTAATAATGCAGCTAAACTTCCCAACGGCTAGAAGAAATAATTTCAAACAATATATTATACACATACATATATGTTAGCTTCCTCCTTAAGTCTGAAAAGACTGTTGAGCATTTTTATACCCGAGCGCACTTGTGCACAAGGGTATTATAACTTTGTTCACATAACGGTTGTTTGTAACAGGCAAAACGAATCGAGATAGATATAGACAAATGTATACATAAATGATCAGAATGAAAAGAGAAATNGATGGTTGCAACAATTTTTTACCAAGAAATACGCTTATGATACAATTTTGGAAAATGGGCCTGGCACCGCCCACTTATGATCACATATATGTATCTCGCTAACCGTTCTAGCAATTTGAACCACATAAAAGCAAAGCGTTGAAAATTATTGAAATCGGACTAAAATTACGACCGCTTTTCATATAACGGTATATTTCAGAAATGCTTAAAACTGCAATATTTCGAAATTTAAGGACGCTAATTTACTTAAAATTTATACACCCCGGCTTATCGGAAAGTTGGAAAACATATATTTAATAATTGCGCCGGGTATTTAATGTTCGGCTCCGCCCGAACTTAGACTTTCTTACTTGTTTTATTTATAAGATTTCAAAATGTATTGTATGTTCAAATACATACTTGTATAAGCAATTACAAATTATTTTTTTGATTCATATTTCGATTGTTCGGATTCAGTTGATTCGAGTGATGGTTTAGATCGGATTTTGTGCCAGCGTCATGATATCCAGCGGATTGGCCAGACCCAGTTGATTGATGATTTGGATTGGATTGAGCGGCTCTATTGTCAGCACCACTGCGATCCATTTTAGTGATTTTAAGTATGTATGCTTGCCAAAAATTTTATAAAGATGAACTGAAAAGTTGAACTTTTCTCGCCGACTGTCGAGTTGAGTCTAATTTTCCCATTGAAATTCGAGCTTTTGTTAAGCGGAATGTATATTGAAATACGTGCGCGTGTAATTCTTGTAACAGGGACTTTCGCAGCAATCTAGAGCGGATACGCCACTAAATATTTCGCTTTTTATTCACACCAACTCCAAAAGCAGAGAATTACCCAACGTGCATACGAAACGCTCTGAGTGACTTTCTGAAATATACAAGTGTGTGTTTAACCCTTTCAGTACCATAAACCTATTTAATAAAAATTTGATTAAAATTTGTAAATTGCATTATAAACAAAAAAAAAAACAAACGCGTATGTAAAGTTATAATTCATACTGTTTCGTGAGCAAAATTATTTTAGTACTAAGATTTTTTTTAACATATATAATTTTAATACTAAACAAAAATTTCATATCATTTTTCGCAAAACAAAATTTTTTCCAAAAATATTTTTTTGCAATTTTCGGCAATTTTGTTTTTAATTTTGTGTAATTAATACATTGTATCCTCAAAAAATTATCTTATTACAAAATTCCTAGACAACAATGTAAAAAGGATTAAAGGAATATATACTTACCTACTATTTATTTTTGATTATCCTCTCAAAAACCAGTGTTACTAAAATTAAATTAAAATTATTGATTTAGCAAAAAAAGAATTTTCACTAAAATATTTATTACCCTAAAATATTTTCAATAAAAGTTATTTATTATGCAAAAATATTTTTTTATTTTATTGGTAAAGGATTAATATATATATTTTTCCCTTAAAAATTGTTATTTTTACTCAATTCCTTAAAAAACCCTAAAAAGAAACAATTTTAAAATAATGTGATGTAGTATATACTCACACTAAATTACTATTTTATGGGCAAAACAAATTTATTTTTGAAAATAATTATTGTTTCTCAAAAAAAGTACCAAAATAATGTTTTTCAAAAATTTATACTTTTTTAATTTTATTTTATTTTTTTATTAATTACTATTTTATGGCCTAAACAAATTTATTTTTGAAAATAAATATTGTTTCTCAAAAAAAGTCCCAAAATAATGTTTTTCAAAGATTTATACTTTTTTAATTTCCGGAAATTTTTTCTAATTGGTGTGAAATAATTTTTTTAAGAGAATATTTTTTTCTAATAAATGGTAAGTTTGTTATAATTTTATTAAAAATTAATATTTTTTTAAAATATGTTTTCTTAAACCTATGATTTTTTTCTAAAAAAAAATTGGAAAAAATATTATGTATTTAACAGTTTAAATTTTAAAAACAATACCGCCAAATGCTTAAAATATTCTTACGAGTGCAAAACTTTTTGGTCCTGTAGGGGTTAAAAATAAAATCGAAGTCGAAGCAAAAAAATGTAAAGTTCCAAAGCAAAACAAACTCTCTGCTTACAAGACTCCATTTTCAAATTTTATTACGAATTATTTAAATAATGTGAAAGAAGAGCTGGCAGTTATTTGTGCGTAATAAATTCAGAAAAAGAGTTTGGCAATATGAACCACTTTCAAAAACCGCGTGATATTTACTACATAACTTCATCAGTTCATAATTCATTGCGCTTCCCATGCGTGCATTGTTGACATTACATTTGTATGATATACATACATATGTAGTATTGGATGCTAAGACAATGCAATCAGG